TCTATAAAAACTTGAACATGAAAATTAAAATTTCTACAGAGATTAAGTACTGGCCCTACAGAAGTTAATGAGAGCTGAAACTTTGACATTTTAAGGTGACTGCAGAACAGCAGTGATGAATTTCAGATAACCGCAGGCTATAAATACGATAAACTGGTTCCTACTACAAACTCAAAGTTAAACTCTGCTTTTTAAATCATTTAAAAAAAACACCAATGAAAAAATCCCTCATTTGATGAAGATGCCCCTCAGTAAGGGATCTTCATTTTTCTAATAGCTCTCCTCATAAAAATAAAGTTTGATACTTCACTCAGCTGGCTTTTGAAACTCAACATAACATTATGTGGCTAAGAAAAGTAAAAAACCCAAATATCAGACATAACTGTCTAGCACAGAACATGAAAAAATGTTTAAGAATTAAAATGCATCAGTCAAACAAAAAACCCAAACTACCCAAGTATTCTTTAAGAAGGTGGATTTTCTCTTGCTATATGAAAGTTCAGTAATTTTTACATTACCTCAGTACCATTCAAATTCATAGCATTCAAAGCAGAGCTTCCTTCCAAAAATGTTACCCACATCTTGTCTTCCACAAACCTGCAAAATCCATTTGAAACAATAATTAAAAAACTTTATCCTACCTACTAACTTTTGAAGCTTCTTAAAGGTTTTTCAGTGTTTCATTTGAAGGAGAAAAATTACTTTTTAAAGTTCATTTAAAAACTTATAACTGGCTAACAAGCTTTAACTGAATGTATCCTTGTAAAAAAAAGAAAACACAAAAAACCCCAACAAAAAACCCAAACAAAAATTAAGTGAAAACAAACCAGAAAAGTATCACACAGTGAAAGCACTGTCATTTAAAAAAAAATATGTGACTACAGTTACATATTCAATAGTAATTGTGTGGCTTACAGGTTAGATATTTGTATTAGGTGCTCTGTGTAACATCATACTATGGACTTGGGACTATGCTCCTTAGTATTCTGAAACAAAACAAGCCTCCCCAAAATCGAACAAAACACTACAACACTTATGGTGCAATTAAGTTCTTAGTGAAAATGTAACACTGATAGGAATCCTCTCATGTTCAGTTCATTTAAAATGACTAACCTAATTTAAGAATACAAAATTACATAAACAGCAAATTTTAACTCTGAATTCTGACAAAGTCAGTATGATACATTACCTCAAAAATAAAGATTAACTGGAAGAATTACGTCTGAAAACTGAGGCACATACAGGTACGCAAAACTAATTTTCAGCCCTAAAGATACTGAAGTTGAAATCCAAATATTAAAAATGAAGCAGATTACAACTGAGAAGTCCGCTAAGAAAGTAACTGTGTTCAGGAAATAAGTGGGAACAATGAAGAGGCATAGAGATTAAAAAAAAAAAATCATTTTAACCTTATAAGTATAACTTCACCATAGCTTGCAAATTTTTGAAGAAGATCATCAATCAAGTTATCATCGAAATAGTTTTCTTCTGCCGAAGAACTTCTGATGGAGACCATTACAGTACCATCAGGTGGTCCTTGCGTTGCGATCACCTCCTTATAAACTTTTTGTCTCTCTTCCGCTTCAATTTCAAAGATGTCGATGTCAATCAATGCAACCACAGGCCTTGGGGGACAAAAAAAAAAAAAACCACAAGAAAAACCTGTAAGCAGAATATCTGAGCAACAAAATATATAAACATGAGTATTACATTTTCAGTGATTAAGAAGTAAGGTATAAAAGAAAACTGAAACCTGTGATCAGATGTTTTCAGTTCTGCTCGTCCGTAGTGCAACAAAGTACCCGGATTCCACGTATAAGGGACATTACTGTCAGTGTGAAAACTTGCATTCAGAAGATCCAGGTCTTCAGCTACATTCAGTATTCATGAAAACAAAAGGGGGAAAACACAGTGGTTGCAAGAATACGCTTTAAGATATGAGCTATTTATAAGAAGAAAAAAAAAAGTAAACTAAAATCAAGTGTTCTACAGAAAAAAAACAACCCAGAAGTTCTTTTTGAATTACTGAAATATCAGATTCTCACACAAAGTCAGTGACAGAAGTTCAGAATCACTGGCACTGTGAAGCAAGTTAAGAGAATATTTTAATCTAAGGAAGCACTCCAACCTGATCGGTCAAAAGGCCATTTTCTTCTTCTCCAAAGAATACGATCTGTCCATGCCGGTGTGCGACATTTTTCACTGGTGTCATAGTCATCAGAAAACAGATCATATTTGTACGTAGGAGCAAAATTTATCTTCCCTTCCAAAAATCCTCTAAAAATCTGTAAGAAACAAAGCAGTTGTGTCATGCCAGAAGATAGAAACAGATGGGAAACAGCTTGAAACTAATCAGAATTCTCTTTTCTAACAGTGAAAACCTGTATAACCATCTCAAAAAAAAGAAAAAGAAGAAACACACAAAAAAAGGTCATTTGATAATACGAATCCTTCTTCAAATTTTATCTGCTCAAAACATTCCACATTTGCCAGTAAGACTAACTAGTGACCCAGACAGATCATCATTAAACAGAACTATGTCAACATTCATATCTTTAAACCCAGGCTCAGGAGCAACCTTCTGTTCCTCCAATGTCATTTAGAACTTGAGGTCATCCAGAACACAGACACTGTCCAGAGTACTTTAATTAGTTGGTTAGTTGCTCATGTGTCAGCAAAAGTTAGGAATTAAGGTTTATATTTTATGTGCCTATCTGAATAGGCAATGTAAGATGCCCCACCAATAAACAAGAGTTAAGGGGGAAGAGGAAAAAAAAAAAGCCACACAAAAAATCCAGTCTTAAATACGTTCAAATATGACCTGAAAGAGCATGTAACAGTAAGAGAGATAAAATCTCTATTTCATCCTAAGCGACTAGGAAAATAGGATAAGAAGAGATACTATGTGAAACTATCTGCCAAGGGTACATATGCTATCTAGAGATACAAAGTCAACAAAAAGGAATTAAAATCCGTTAGGTACTTTACAACATAAACAGATACAGCCAGCTGATACAAGACCCTGGAAGGCCAGTAGATTTGCTCACTCCTTTAAGTGTTTAAACTAGACATAAGCTAAAACCCTTTAGTTAACCTAACCAGCTCCAGTCACAAGCCTAATTTTCTACAGGCAGTTTTACTTCACATCAGAGATCTGTAAAATATAAATCTAACTTTGTTCTTACAGTCAAGTCTGCGTCAAATGACAGGTTAGCCTGCTTTTCTTGTTGGAAAGATAAACTGAAATGCAGTCAATTTAAAAATCAATGTCAGAGGATCCACAACTTCTGAGACTGTTTATTAGTGCCTTTGCCTTTGGTAACTACTTCCCATGTGTGGCCTGATCTAGTTGAGAGGCATCCCTGCCCATGACAGGGAGGTTGGATTAAATGATCTCTAAGGTCCTTTCCAGCCTAGGCCATTCTATGATTCTGAATCTACTTTTACAACAACAGTCGCTGTGCAAACACCTCTCTTGAGCAGAAGATACATCAAGTAACAGTCACAGGTAACAACTGTGGAGCAACCCTCATTAGTCAGCTGACATCTCCTGCTGCCTAGCCAGACACTTCCAAATAACAAAATATTACCCTAAAATAGTACCTCCTCTTCTCCTCCTAAGCCAACAGACTGGGACTTTTCCATATTCTGTTACATAGATCTTTCCAGCTTTATGACTGTTGTAACTGTCCCCAAGCCCTCAGGCCTCTCTGGTTTTGGTTGAATTAACAATCTGTCTGCCCAGTTGAACGTGTGTCTCTTTCTCTAGGAACTGGGCTGTTAAAAAGATAAAATAAAAAAACTGGCCAAGTGTTTTTCCTCCTGTTCTGGTGCACAAGACACCAGCACAAAATGCTGGCAAGCAGACAAAACTAACAACAGAGGAATGCCTCTCATTTTACCATCTGTGGTATTCCCACAAAAAGCTGGAAAGACAGAATACACACTTCCACATAAAATTTGACTCATTATAAATATTCCTTTAATTCTTATGTGCTGCTTCCCAAGAAGCCCCAAAAAAATCTCAAATTCGAGTTTCCTTCAGACTTTGTTATTCCATGATTTTTGATTTGTAAGTGAAAAGGGTACCATTTGGACTATCCCTTTTTCCAACAGAATGACAGTAACAGCATTTGACCTATTACTGCAGCAATTTAAGATAAACAGTAACATTGCAAAATAATGTTTCTAAATATTTTGTAAATAGTTGTACCTGATAAAAAGAGAAATATTGCATTGAGTAAACTCCAATATGGCCTTCTAAAACAAAATGGCAGTTTCGTTTTCTTTCCTACAGCTAGTACCTCTATTTGTACCGCTGCCTCTTCAGGTCAATTACTATGAATAAGTTACTAAATGTCATGGTGTCCTACCCTTCCATATCTCTACCTAGACAGAAGTGATAAGTAAAATATGCTAAGGGTACAGATTTACAGCAGCATCACAGAAAATTACTAAAGCGACAAAGAAAAAATATTCTTAAGTGCAGTAACATTTTTAAGATACCTGTCCAGAATTTTTCTGATTGATAAGTTGGTCTCCTGCTATAAGAGGATCCCAGTTCTGCTGTCGTATTAGCTCCTTGACCTCCTCATTTGGAATATCTATTCGATAATTAAAGTCACCACACCAAAAGATATAGTCATGGGAAAAGAGCATTCTTCCCTACAAAAGAGAACCACACAATGAAATTAAAACCAACCAAGTGAGAGATTTACTGCTCCCAGGTGCAGAAATTCAGTTTTTAACTGTAAAACATAAATCATTTGTAGTTGATGAGGACAACTGAAATACATGTTAGTATTGAGCGTTCACATGGTGAGATCAACACAGCTAATTGTATTCACACACACAGAATACGAAAGCAGTAACATTTCTCACGTAGTTTGCATTTCTGAAGAAACATGAATCATCTAAACTGGATTCTAAAATTCTTCATCATTCTATTTCTGTTTTAAAAGTCTGCTCTGAGATGATGACTGCTACCTATGTCACAAAGAGCTTGCAAAGGAGAGCAAAACACTACCCTGGGATCTTGTGACACAATATCCTGGCAAACCGCAAATTGAGGGCTTTATTATTCAGATTTAACTGAAGACTTTCAGTTACATACAACTTTCATGGCTAGGAAGCGACAGAAGGACTCTAAGTCTAAACACAGCCTAGGGTTTAAAGTGAGAACTTCTACTTTTGTTTTGATTTTTCCATTGTCATTAAGTAAATCAAAGCAGATACACTGGCAGGGGAAAACAGCAGCATTCAGGAAACTGTTTCTGGGGACCACAAGAATACAGTACTTTCAAGAAAAAATGAAATATGACCATGGGAACAAACTTAAAAATTAAAAAACCATGTAAAATAAGATGTCAGACTCCTGCATAGCGCCATAAAAACTATAAAAGGACAGTCTGACTACAAAATTTAATACAGCTTTAAATCTCAATGAAGCATTTCATTGCACTGATAAAATTGTCAAGTATTTACTTGGTGTTCGGTAATTTATGAGAATATGGTACAGAACTGTACAATGCAACCTGACAAAAATGAGCAAACAAGAAGCTAAAATAAGTTAGCAAGAATCATTTTTGCGTACTGAAAATAGTGCTGTTTCCCATGAATTTTTTTTTGTCACAGGTGATTAAATCCCACGTCTGCAGAAGTTCTACTGCGTGTCAGGAATCTATAAGGTCTCACTCCTACGCTAAATCATTGAAACCTAATGCAAGTGAATTCATGTGTCATCATATCTATCAGCCATTGCACTGGAAAGGTCTACTCTTCCTGCAGTCATCTATTTTAATAAAAATTGTGGCAACGTAATTAACTCTGAGACCTCTAACTCAAGGAAATTTGATTGCCACAGGAATCTGAAGAGGGGGAAAAAATAAATAGAGCTTTTGGATGACATTGCTGGATCTCAAAGAACTTCTCATTCATTATAGAATTTGAAGATGGTTGCTTACCATTGGAAAACTGAGCTTGCGAGCTATTTCTACGAAGTCTTCGTTTCTCTCTTTAACTTGCGATTGCCCTGCAGCAAAATGACTGCAGACAAAGCAAAGACTGGATGTATGAAACAACATCCGAATTGCTACTGCACCTTTATTGCCAGTGGCTCCTCCCATGCCAGTCTTTACGGTATCAACAGCAACATCCCTAAAAGAGTTAAACAACTATTAAATCTTCAAATACAATGGCACAGAAGTTAACAACTTTAAGTATGTCTGAGTGTGACATTATGTTGGTAAGAGAATATTTTCACATTGTTCTTTCAGCAGTAAGGCCACTGGGAGATTTTCAAAAAATGCCAGTGGCTATCTAGTAGGTAACAACACGACACTTCAGCTTTTCAAGCTTTCTTGGCAACTGATGAGGCATTTAAAAAACCCTAAGATTTTATAAAGATTTTAAGCAACCAGTTCCCCAGAAGACTGAACAGCTCTTTTAGAGCTCTATATGCTTCTTAGGGCCCTTGTATGTCAGCTTGCAATACAAAGCAAAAGGAAGGTGACCCAATTTGGGGCACAGCTGTGTGTTCACTGACCTGATAAAAGGAGCATGCTGGGGCCTGATGAACACAAAAAGGCAGACGCCCACCAACTGCTCAGAAGCCAGCAGCACATACTTGTAATCTCTTGATATAGTCTTCTGCAGTTCAGCAGCCCAGAGCTTCTGATTGGTTGTGCTAGCAGCAAGAATAAAAATAGCAGTTTTAAAACAAATCAGGCATCTAAACTGTTGATTGAGTTGAATAAACTTCATATCAGAACCTTAATGAAACCTTGGGATAGTAAGCCAAGGCCAAGTTGTGAATGGTGCTCAAATGCCTCCTAGCAGAGACACAGGCACCTGACTGTCATGACATCATTATTTCAAATTCAGCTTCAGAAAACACCGCATCACTTTTCTAAACACCACAGACAATGTTAGGAGCCAGGGCTATCTTTCCTGTGCTTCCGAGGCTAGACTAGAGGAGCAAAACCTAAGAATTTTTTGAGGGAGTTACTTCCTAGCCTAGAGCTCAGTCAATACCGAAAAACAGAGATGTCCATGGCCTTAGATCAAGAAGAAATTTCCTGGGAGAACTAATAGACTATGGCTTTCAGAGCTAGCATTGGATATAAATGGAAAACAACAGACCTGGAAACAGCATTAACCAGACACAGTGTGAAATTAGTGGGTGACAGACAGACAGACAAAAAAATGGACAATGTGAATACATTCCTAGGACTACATATAAAGACTTCATCACTGGTATCACCCACTACTGGTAAAAAACATATTTTCATAACCTGCTCTGCTAGGGGTGAAAAATCTGAACTCCAGGACAATATATAAGTGTAATCCATGGAATGACAATAAAAGCTCACAACCTTGCTTTATACAGATCAAAATCTGATGCAAGACACTATATAAAGGCAGACCAACAATACATGGTTTTAGAAGGAATTTCACAGGACTCACTGGTCCCAATAATAGGAAGGGCACAGAAACACCAGAACACTACAAACATTGCAGGTAAATTCCTTCAGTGTTAAATGAAGGAAAAGGCTGCGGAGCTGCTGAAGGTGCAATCCAAGTTATGGACAAGTACTGACTGTTTGAATCCTTGAGATTACATTATACATGATCTAAGATATCACAGATTTGCTAGGGAAAGCTGAGATGAAGCCTATAATCCTGGCACACAAACCGGCAGAGAAAACTGGAACACAGTCAAAATTATTCCAGACTAATCACATCCATTACAAAACAAGAGAAAAAAAAATTAAATAATATTTTACACAAAAAATACGATCATCCACTAAACTGGTACCATACAGATTGTAGCACATACCTGGCATTCACAATGTTTCCTGCATTTAACTCCACCATTTCTTCAAATCCAATGGCAAATATGTCTACAGGCTTGCTTTTGCGGTCTACAATTAACCATTAAAAAAGTTATTTTGTCACTGATAATTAAGAACCAAGATCTCATAGATCTATTTTAAAGTTTACGATCTTATTGTGTTTTCAAGAAAATATTGACAAAAATACAAATCCTACCTTGGAACTCATGAATGCCAGCTAACTTTGGTGCATCTAGAAGCCAGTCAGTTAGAGTCTGATTTCTAAAGGCAATACTTCGAAATTGCTTCCCTCCATTCACGTTCCACGTCCCGACGCAGACTCTGATTTTTTTCGGTTTTGCATACTTATAGAAGTTTTCACACATACTCTTTAGTACTTTCACAGATGCTGTAAGAACAACATTTGAAAAGATATTATTTTTATATAGAATGTTTCTTTGAAGAACTTGGCAATGAGATCTTTCCCTTTAGAAAATAGCAACAAACCCATGCCGGGACATATAGAAAGTTAAAATGTGAAAGCAAGATGAATGTAGTCTTTCATACGGGAAAGCATATTTGCAGACATATTACTTCACTGGGTAGCAGCAGTAACTTGCTCAAAGTAATATATATACAAATAATATGTAAAAGAAATAAATATCTGGCATTCTTCCACTATATCTGTGATTCTCTGTGGAAAAGAGTATTTTTCAAACATGCCAACACAGATATCTACCTCATTTTCACAGATCATATTTAGGAAATTCAATCTCCTTATAAAGCAAACTTACAGATATGTTAAGTTCTAGAAGTGCAAAAATAACTGATCAGATAAGGCACATTATTTGATCATATTAGAGTATAGTTATTTAAACCACAAGTCTGAATTATTTTTTAGGCCAGCTGAATTCCTAAAATTCTGCTTGAGTGAGGACAGTAGGCTTGGATTAAAAACAAACAAATTAATTTCTCTGTCACATCAGCCTTTCTCTGTGCCTTATTTCTATCTGCCAGATGGGAGAGAAAGTAATGACCCATTTGTAAAGGAGAGAAACAAACAAACAAGAGAGATTATTCAGTAGTCAGACACTAGAGTTAGAGATATACAGATATATTTCCTAATGCAAACAAACACTTTACACCTTCAGGTAAGAGCCAGATACTGGGTCTACTTCTGAAAATACCTACCACTAGATAACAGTCAAGTCAAGAAGTTAAGCAAATGCCAGAAAAGCCCCCAAGGGTCGAGGACAGAAGCTACCCAAGCACCTGACCACTGAAGAGAATCCAATCCAAGAGATGTTGCAGCCATCCAAAGGATTAGCTGAACCCAAGGAACCCAAACCAGCATCCCAGGCTGCTTTGAAGACCTTACAGATTAGCCTTCATAGTACTCTGAACAAATTTAAAAGCAGACTTTGGATTTTCATTCTTTACTTCAGTTCCTTCTTTTTCTTTTGCAAGTTTCACAGTTTGCAGATTAATTTTAAATAATCTATATCTGCTACCAAGGAGCTTTTAAGAAAAGCTGTAAAATCAAATTGTTGCCTGTTTAACCCCGATATTGTCATGAAGTCCTAATGTGAATAATCTTACTAGGATGGAATCATACCTTTAAACTAGAAAGCTTTCTAAATTGTAGAATAACTCTTTTCTAAATTAGAATAAAGAAAAAAACAACTTATTCCAAAATACTGAGCCAACTGCTTTTCAGAGCTCCTGAGCCTCCTGCAAAAATGGTTCTCCTACCCATTTTTAGCTATTTATCAACAAAATTGTATCTCACTCTGCAACATTAAAAATTCAGTCAATTACATTTTTGGTTATTTTGCAGTCAGGCAGACATTTGGAAATCAGTTCTACAAAGGGAATATTAATTTCATTCTCCGTGGGATATTCTGTGCAACTGAACTAGATTGAGCTATTTTACTACAGCATCCAAATTACTGGAGATATGTTTCATTACATGCAATTTGTATCCAGATGAAACCCAAGGTGAAATGTTACATCAGGAAGTTAAAAAGCAGTGGACAGGTATGACTCTTCATGAGATATAAGCTGATATAGTCTAGATGGTAACACCATTAATGTGACGACGTGACTGTTTATTCCAATAAATAGTTTATTCCAATAAACAGACAAACGGCGGGGAGGAAGCTTCAAATATTTCAAGTGTATTTGAACAACAATCTATTCAACAACAAAATATTATGCTTTTTTCCAAGGACCCTCCCTTGTCAATCTTCATTACGCAAGGCTAGTGGCTACCAGGCAAGCCTACGCAGGTTCAGGGGATACTGTCCACAACTTCATTGTTCTCTTCTAACAGAAGACTTGTCTGAACAGTTATTAAGACCCTTCCTTGTTTCTTTCCCTTCTCCCATTGTATTCCCAGGTATTAAGAATAATCTTCTTTCCTCTCCCCCAGAAACTAAGCATCTGATCTGTGTTCACTGAACCTTCTTCCAAAAAGCAGTAAAATCAACTCCACTGAGGCAACAGCTCAGAAACGTACATTTAGATACTCTCAACACATAGTAAAATCTGAACATACAAGCATTATTCTGTTATCAATTATAGTTTCTGGGAAAAAGGAGATGATGAAGTGTTGCACAACTGACAACGTCTCCAGTTCTCCTTTAAAAATAAGGAATATGTATATATCATCTCCCCATACGAAGCAGCTTCATGTAAACAACTTAAGTTGCAACAAAAAGGAGAATTTCCACTAAGAATCAGATGATTTTGGAAACAAAGTTCAAAGGTACTGTTCTGCTTATGTTGCTAACTTACAATGAAAATAATTACGAGTTTTCACATTAACTTTTGCTGGGAGATAATAGAAAAACAGTCTGTATCATGCAAGAATGTTTAATCTAGAGCAGGGTAGATTCAGATTTGACATTAGGAAGTTCTTTCATATGAGTGTGGTGAGACACAGGTTGCCCAGAGAAGCTGTGGAAGCCCCATCCCGGATGTTTTTAAGGCCAGGCTGGATGGGGCCTGATCTAGTGGGAGATGTCCCTGCCCATGGCGAGAGGCTTGGAACTGGATGAGCTTTAAGGTCCCTTCCAACCCTGACAATTCTATGAAGAACACAAGGCTAACATCAAATACACTGAAGTTGCATATTTTACTGAAGAATTTAATCTCTTAACCTAAAGGAAACATTTATACAAAATAAAAATACAGAATGTACAAACCAGATAGAAAAGCAAATTCCCCTATGGATAGAATACAGCATTTGCAAAAATAAAACCCAAATAATTGGTTGCCTCTTTTTGTTGTCATGCCCAATCAGGATTGCAACATTTTTGACCCTTCATATTTTCACTTTTCTTGTATTACAGAGCTTTTCTTGGATTAATTCCCAGGGCACAGGAAAGCCAGATCCAAACACTACAAGGAAAATATGAGCCCACAACCAAATATTATGCAAATAGGCACAAGAAAAAAGCCAGAGAAGAACAATAGCTACGCAGATATTTACAGCTTAATTTACTATACTATACCTGATTGTAATGATTGCTCTGAAACTACGGATGCAGTAAGAAGGAAACAAGAAAAAAAATAGGTTTTTAGAATTTTCGAACCACGTGAAAGAACATGCTGTAATACACAATTTATTACACAACCATTTGCGTCAATTAAAGTACATCTTTTATGCCACAAAAATCTAAGAAGTTCCACAATAGTACTAATAAAGGAAGAAAAGAGAATTTTTAATACTGGCTTTATGCATTATGAAGTATCTCTCCAGTTAATTCACCATCCAGCAGACATTGCCAAGAAATTACATTCAGTGAAGAGAGATTAATGTTACTCAGCTGACAGGAGCTGCAAATATTGAGAGGACAGCTTGCATTCACAGAGGAAGTGAGAAGAAATGAAAATGACTTTCAACTAATTTTGAGGGGAGGCTGATTTAGCAGGTTTCACGTAAAGGGTAAGTTCCAATAACATGAAACCTTGTGGTAAAGAAATGAGAGGAAAACAGTCTTTCAGGTTCCACAGAAGAAATATGTAACTACCCACAAGATGAAGACTACAACTGAGCAAGACTTCTTTTTCTCAGGCCACGGATTTGCACTGAAGCTTTGACACACTTTTCTCATACAAGGCTGAGAAGTGCCCATGAGAAAAGAGGAAAAAACAAAGAAAGAAAAGGAAAAATTAAGAATGTTATCAATCCCTAATAATGGAAATAACCCACGATTTAGGACAATTTTACCTGGGATCTTGGCAAGAAGACTCAAATTTAAGTTCTGTCTTTGCCCAAGAATTAGTTTCTCTATTTTTTATATCCCAGGAGAATACTCTAAACACAGCCCTACATCTGCCCCATTTGCTATTCCCCTGCAGAAGGATGGGGTCTGGCTGCAGCCCTGGAGACCACATAGGGTACACCTCTGTCTGGGCCTGGAGGATGCTGTCATTCAGCTCCCTGTTCTGACCAGGCGGGCACACCTGCCTGTAAGCAGACCACCTGAGTCCCACAGGGCTACCCTGCCGAAGCAGAGTTTCTTATTGAAATCTCTCCTATTTTGACTTAGAATTTCACTCATGGCCTGACAAGCTTTTGTGGTACACATCTTCCTGGGAAAGGCTTTTCACACACAAAAAAATAGTAATTGTGATGGAAAATAATTCATAACAAACTTTCTCATAGGTCCTGTTATCTTAAATTTTCTTCCATTATCAAAATACCTTTTTTTCCTCAGTACCTTAGAAACCAAAATGAAGATAAATCCAGCATTCTTATCTTTGAGAAAAGAGTAAATGCTTTCTATCTAGTTTAACAACACGGTGAGAATTTTTTCATTGACATGACAGATCAAATGAAGGAAGATGTTTAGCAATCAATTAAAAAAACCTCGTGTTTAAATAAATCGTTATTTTTTTCCCCACATCCAGTACATAATTGTCATAATTAACACTTGCTAATTACGGATTAAGCACTATGGATTTAAGAACTGAACAGAACATATCTGACATACATCTACAGTAAAGTTCTGACAAATATGCTCCACAAATATTTACCTACTGCAGAACCAGACATCAACAAAATATAAACAGTAAAAGAAATCACTGCAGCATGTTAGTTTGGTAATATTAGTAAAGCAGAAGTAACTTTCACCTCTTAAGAAGCCAACAGAACATAAAATAGCATTTGTACTTTCAAATATTGCTTTGAAAACAGACTCCATACAGCTTTCTTAGACCAAATAGTTATCAGACAGTTTAAAATCCTGAAAGACACATACCGCGTAAACTGCTGGTGGTTAAGAGAGCCCGTGCTTTATCTGCTAAATCACTATTTAGGGTATTTCCCAATAACAAAACATCAATGGCCTCCTGCTTGGAGCTATCAAAAAAGTTATTTTGAATCGTTCTAGTCACAGAACGAGCACCATCCTTCAGCTTTCCAGCCTGTTAGGGAGGAACACGTATAAAATATTTTATGTTGGACACTGCTCACAATAACATTGGCAATATTCAGTAATATATTTGTCAACTGCATTCATGATTTTAAAATCTCAGGCAATTTCCTTCTTTAAGCATTAAATAAAGTCTTCTCAGCCTACTATATATGATGTGTGCTTTCCCCATCCCCAAAATGCTAAACAACACAGTAATACTTTCAAAGCAAATCTTGAAAACCAGATTATTCTAGTTTAAATTACTTAAAATCAAACAAAATACTGTAGGGAACATTTTTTTTTCTCTAAATCCTCAGTCTTCCAAAATTAAATTGATGTGGTGCCATGTTTAGACCATGACTGGGGATTTTGGACTTTTCCCCAAATAGTGAGAGACAAGCAAGCACTTGAGTCCCAATGTCATGATACATGAATACATATGTATATGCACATACAGGCACATTAGTTCAGAACTCACTTTCTGAAATATCCATGTTAAAAAAAAAAGATAGCTTTAACCTACGAAGACTGTGTAACTTTTAAAAATCACATGCAAGTCTCATGCAGTATCCCGGAAGGAACACACGCACTAATCTCAAGCGACATAGATCCAAAGGCACAGTTGTTGCACACGCTGCTCACAAGTGGTTCAGAAGAGCAGCCTCCAACTACCTGAACTAAACAAGAACCTCCAAGAGATGTACTGCTACTACAGGTACTCCCTGTGGGTCAGACACCTAAAGGATCATGTAACCAACATGCCACACAGTCTCATGCTTGATTAAAAAACCAGCAGTGTTAGTTTGGGTGCACAGCACTGACACCAACAGGCACAAAGACATTTTCTTGATTATGTGGTTTATTGTGTCTCCTGAATGTAGGTGTATTTTGCCTGTGAGGTGTATGCAAACACATGCTGATATACGTATATGATATTCAGAGTGTCATCCATCAGGGATGCTGCATGGTATGATATTATTATAAAAAAATACTCCAAGTTTACAGCTTGCGTTGTTCACGAAGGTCTCTTAAATGCATAAGAATAAAACACAAGAAAACCACGCTAATCCATCATTTAATTCTATGAATTGTACTAGACAACATGAAAGAAACTCCTCTTTTGTCAAGGATAAGTAGTAGGAAATTGGTACCACAATATTTGGAAGACAATGTGGATGAGGTGTCAGGGAGCATACTATTGCACTAGGGTTTTAATAGGATGCTCCTCCCTTTCTGTCAGACAATGCATAACTTAAGACATGATCCAAAAAAACCACACTCACCATTCACATATCAGGCAATTAATTGAAAGGAACCCAGAGAAAGCAAAAGAAAGAGTAGGTAAGGAGTTAGATGTAATGAGTATTATAATATTTCAGATAGGACTGATTTTCAGTATAGAAATGCATATTAAGACATTTAAGGTTTGTTTTTTTTCTCCCATCCTAAAATTTTATATTTTTATTTCTAAGCACTCTTGGACTTTGAAGAATCAAACTAACAAGCAAGAAATGGAAAAATGTCAACCATCAAACTTTTCATTTGAGAAATGAAAGTACAACTAACAACTTAAAAGCTACATTTTAAAATATATTATCAGAGTACTCAAAAAGATATGGAGTAGAAATCTGGCCAGGTTTCACTGAAACAATGGCAAGTATTGTACAGCTTTGCAGGTATTAAAGATCATCTTCAAAGAGATGGACTTCTGTCAGGGATGCTGTGTTTGATTTATGAGACATGGTACTCACTAATAGTTGTACCCGGGCAGGGATCTTGTGCTATTACAAAGACAGAAGAGTAAACGTACTCTGTGTTTTGAACATTAAAAGTGGAAGTAGAAATACAGCAAACGCATTTTACAAAGTAAAAAATTAAGTAGCCAAGCGAATGGCAGAAAGCTATTAATTTAGGAAAAGAAACAAGTAAGACTGAACGAGAAAGTCAGGAGAAGGGGAGACATCCCATAAAATACTCACTGTAGTTTTCCTGACAGTCTGGGTGACATTTTTGTAAGAAAATAAAACTAAACATCTTTAACCAAAGTTCACTCTATTTTAAAATGCAAGCAGCTCCCAAATGAAAAAGTCTTCTATGCACCAGTTAAGAGCAGAACAAGCAATGAGTCTATTTTACTTATTTTCTTTTTATGTAGATTACTGCAATATCTTGTACTTGTGTAGAGAAGGACCCTGATACGGTTTGAATGAACAAGTGATGGTAAAATTAAAAAAAAAAAAGTCATGGTAAAAACACTCGACTATGAGTACAGAGCATATAACATGGAATGAGAAGCAGCGCATACTTGAATAAAAAGAACAGTGCGAAAGGAAATTCTTGAAGGAACTAAAAGCAAAAATCGCTATGGTTCAACATTTGTTTGCGTTGACAAACCCACAAATAGAGAATTATGGAAAAAAAAAAGCAACACTGTTAGAAGTAAAATAAAAGACAGCATTAGGAAATCTGAATAACTCAGGCATCCACAAAGACAAAACAAGTTGAAGAGAAACAGAGCATTACATTGTCATGTAGTACCAAATTGTTATCACAACATTAGAAAGTAAGATAGAAGCAGAATTGGGATTTTTTTCAGTAATCGCAAAACTAAAAAGAAATAGTTCAACAACCATGCAAACCAAAAAGATCTGGATGCAACCTGTTTAATTTAACAGTGTTAATAAACACTAGAAGCATGAACATCCAGTGAAACACATTTCAGAAGAAATGAGATGTAGTGAGTGAAATTGAAACAACAGGAGGCAGAGATAGAGAGAGAAAAATTTAAATAATGAAAGGTGATTTGGATATACATTTTTCTGAACTATGATCTAAAGAAATCAAAGATTTGGGCCTCATCCTTTCCTACAGAATGGTGTTACCTGGGAGGCATGGGCATAGCTGAGAAAGGATATACTCAAAAAAGATCTGGTTAGCAACATAAGCAATCTTTTATGCTTATTTTTTTTTGTTTGGTTGTTTTAGGATTACAACAAAAGCACATTTTAAAAAAGAAAACCTCATAGTTGTTCTATCGATGACAAAATTTTTTGAAACCCAGACTGATACTACTAAAATTTTTAATAAAATGTTCTTTACCTTAGCTTTTCCTTCAAGGGCTCCAGTCCCAGCATAAATTTTACTGACAGAATCACCATTCACAGACCACATGGATCGGAAAACTTCCTGAAAGCGAGTAACCAACTGCGGCTTCTCAGCTAATCCTAATACCTCCAGTTGTTTTGTGAGCATCTGCAACAGTTGAAGACAACATTTGCAAACAAAAAATATTTTAATGTATTTCCTAAAAGGTACATCATATCTTTTTCAGCATAAAGACACAAAACAGAATTGTCATTTATATGTACTGCTACGAACAAACTGGCACCATGTCACGTTTGAAAGGCTATTGTTGGACATGCAACTTCAGAAGCAGCACTTCACTTTCTTTTAAAGATAGGTAGCAATACAGGGAAATAATTAAAACAGTTGTTTTGCAAATATTTTCATCTAAACATTTACTAGTTATAAGGAAAGCTATTTTTCGTTCTCAAGTGCTTTTACTTACATAATTTAGAATTAGAGCAATTCATATTCTTGCCCAAAAAATGTAGTACCAAACACACTGACCTCTATTACTTAAATGCAGCAGCAGAGCTCTCTGATCAGTGAAAACAGCAACGACTTCTGTCATTCACATTGGTTTTGTGTAACACACTGTCATCTTTACCCTTACAATCAACATACCTCAAATAATTCTCCATGACGCACAGTCTACATTAAATGCACTTAAGCTGTTTATATAAAGTGTATATAAATGTATCATTTAAAAAAAATATATTTAAAACCTTGAGGTTTTCAACAGCAAGAAGGAGTAGTCTGAAATGATGAACATAAAATAACATAAAGGCAAAATTCTGAAGGTTGGGCAGGAACTAACATGCAGAGCTGAAACAATGGAGAAAAAAGGCATTAGATCTCTCAAACTGTGTTGTATCTCCTACAGTATGTACTGATGTTGAATGTTAAGAGAAAAATTTTCAGAGTCTTCGCATGATGGTAAACAGTTGTGTATTTCATTTGACTAAAACACCAATGAACTGACAAGGGCGTTCACTTGGTAAATGCAGCAACAAAGCACTACGCACTCCAGAATCAGAAGTGTTTGTTCTACAGCCAACGGATTTTTCACTTCTCACAGAAATTCCTCCCACAGATGCTAAAACAAGAGCATTTTAATTAAATAAAACCGAGGAAACAAAAGAATAATCCTTTTACTTAGTCTGATGTTACAACACATATATTTTTTCATTACTAAACATGCTACAGATTTAATCTGTACAAGTAAAACTTAGTTTATTAAGATGAGTGGAGCTGTCAAAAGTTTTTCAGAGTTACTCTTTTGGCCAAGTCAGTACAACTTTACTCCATCAATTCCTATCAGGTTCTTGTGCTCAAGCTCAACTGTGTAAGCCTGCAAGCAAAGAAACTGTCTTTCAATTCAATGGCACGCAAATGGACTGAAGCACAGCCTTGCAGGAGGGCTGAACACCGCTGTTCATTTATACCTACTCAATCTGAGTGCGGCCAAATCCTCAACTGTGATATTGTCCCATGAAGAATTCACAGCACAGTGATGTTAAAATATGAACACACAGCACTGGCAGATGCTAAGAACACTAATCCTACATAACAAAGGACTTCATCTAAGAGAGTAACTGTGAATGTAAGTTGTTTTGTGAAGGGCTACAACACTACTGCTTCCTCTAGAATTGCAAGACTGAACCTTAACAGAAATAAGAAACTGAACCTAAAAAAAGAACAAACATGTTTTATAATGCTGCATGACTGCTGTTTAATTACAACTACTACACAGCTTCTGCTTTCGTAATTACTAAAGTCTGGTTGCTCCAGAACAGGAAAGGCATCGTGCTATAAATCTCACTGCCACCTATGAAACATTTTAACTCATCTTCCATAGGGAAGCTGATGCTACTTTTACAGCCTAATTGCTACAGAAGCATCAGGAGCAGTTGTATATCTAGACACTGGTTTTCCTACCTCTAAGCCAAAGAAAGCCTGCACACTGTTTGTTCTATCCAGACAGTCCAAGCAGTTTGTTCTGACAGTCCCGCTTTGAGATCTGTGCCAAGGACAATGAGAGACAGAAAACAAGTGAAATAACTCATTTAACACGCATATTGTCAACAAAGACAGGGACATCAAGATCTGAACCAGAATAGTAAATCAGAGTATTGTTAGTGCAATGTTACTGTCATCACAAGTATGTTTATAAATGCGTCAGCAACAGAAGGTTAGCTCCAATAACAGCAGCAAATTTTGCAGCAGTGATCACTATACAAAACTATTTTCTGCAAATAACATGAGTCGTCTTCAGTTTTTCTCAATTCTCCTTGTTTGCTTTGTTAAAGTCTTATGCAGGATTAAGTCTTCTTTTCTAACAATCCAACTAATACACTTCCCAAGAATCTCAGAGGGAAATAATAACTCTTAGTTAAAAAAAAACACTAAAAAAACCCACCAACCTATTAGGACAGTTCTTGGATTTGTCTAACTAAACTAAAAGTAACACAAAATGGTGATAAAACTAAAGCAAATTTCAACTCCTCGTTACCTTCTCTTTCCACTTCAAAATAAAAAAGTAAAATAAGTCTCTTCGCCTCAGCCTGACAGATGGTTGAGGCCCTCCGGCACTCTGAACTGCTCGCCTTTCTTTGCGAGAAGCCCATTAACTCATGCTATAGAGGTCTCAGAAGAATCATATTAGGCAACATCCAACGTTCTTCTGGCCTGGCTGTGAGTTCAAAATCCTGAACAACTCTCCCAACAATACACATTCGTTCCTTACTTTTGCCATTTCTACCACACACTTTGTCCAACAAAATCAGCACTTGGGAGATCTAACTATAAATTGCAGAAAGTTCTGACAACCTTTCCCCAAGACTACACTTTTCATTACTATCTCTGTATTTTATTTGAAACACAAAACAACTTTCTATCTGTGTTAGAAAAAAATCTGACAGTCTCCAGATGAGATGGTCCACAGATTTACAAAAATCGTCACCACGTCTTCATTAACACAATTCTTCAAGACATAGATTATTTTTCTTGTGTTCTGTTGACAGTCTTTTGGATGGGTGATAACAGTATTTCAATCTTCATCAGGACGAAACGGTGTTCTCCCAACAGGGAGTGTCACATCACTTTTCAAGCTTTTTGGACAACGGTCAGTGACATTTTGAGGTGGGACCTAAGCAATCTCCGACTAAATCTAATCTTATTCAGGCCCCCCTACCCTGGGAGATTTATTCCACAGCCAGGTTAGAGCACAGAGCAGCACTCGAATCCTCTTCTCCTCTTCCACTGCACCAGAAGATGAAATCCCACTGCACGTGCCACAATCCCCTCACTCAACAATTCTCTTTCTCATGAATCTCACTCAACAGTTTGCTCTGGCATTACTCAGAAGGAGGAAGGGTGTGGAAGGGAGAAGACCAGGAATGTTGCCTATTTTGAGCCCTGCTTCCCTTTTCCTGCTAAGCCCAGACTCCGCTTTAAGGAAAAGGGGTGGGGAAATATGGACAGAAGTACCAGCACAGCAGGACTGGGAAGTACAGAGCAGGGCAGAAAACAGACATCCCATTCGCGCTGTGGAGAGCTGAATCTCTCAAACAGGCAACCCAGGTGCTAACAGATTTAGAACAGGATTGCACTGAACATGAGCATTTACAACACAAAATGGTATGCTCCACTGCTGAGGAAAATACGAATAGCGTTATACAGGAAAATGGAAAAATATTCCTTCTTTAATCCCACATGGGTGCATCGAAGTAAAAGGACAATTGCCCATTTTCACCAAAACCATGAGGTCAAGGGCCTGAAATTAAGTCACGCCCCATCAATGTCTCAGAGACATTTTCCATTAAGTTTTTTAGAGCATGTTCAGAACGAGACAAAACTTCAAGAGAATAAGGTACTCCTATTTCAGCTGCTGAGCAACATCTTGGATACAATAAAAACACAATGAGAGACATAACATTTTTTTCTCTTATCCTCTTGCTAAGGGGTGAAAAGCATACCAGAATCATACTTTAATTTGAAGAAATTTACAGAAGTTATATACACAAACCTTTTAACTTCCTTTCCATCAAAATAAAAAAATCCACATTCTAAGAATTTCTGGACTTGAGGTTTAAGCACACTGTGCAGTTTTTCTGCCTTTCCACCTTTAACCATTTGATGATAGTCAAAGTTCACCATTTTGATATCAGCAGAATGTTCAGATGCTTTCAAGTGGCTCTGACATTATGAAGAGAGAAGAAAACAAGTATAAATATATTAATATCTGTACATATAGTAGTATAAGGTAAATAAGAAGCTACAAATGTTTTTAAAGCTGTTTTATTACCTATCCTGTTTTTTGATATGCATTCTCTTCAGTAAAATAAACCGCTTTAGTCACTACTGTTCAACAAATCACTCAGAATTGATTAATATTGCATAGAATCATAGTATGTTCAGGGTTGGAAGGGTCGCCTAGAGATCATCTAGTCCAACCCCCTGTTTTCTTTCCTTTTTCTTGTCACAGTTTGTTTCTTCCTTGCTATACGAGAGGCGACCAAGACAGCCTACAGCCTAGTGTTTAAATGCTTTGATTTGCCAAGAGCTGCTTCAGTGGAAATTCCCTTCACTAAGAGTCACCAGCTGAGGCACACCTGCCAGCAACAGGGACCAAGTAAACACTCCATCAACTACTACTGTAAAAAACCAGACAAATTATTTAGGTTGCTGTGGAGGGTGGCTTGAGCAAAACGCTCCCTAATATTCCCTGAAAAATCTGGGAAGCGCTCACATAATCTTTGTTGGCAAAGCTATGATCTGCATCGGGAGCTGACGTGCACGTGGCAGCGCTGATGTCTCCTACCAAGACAGCCGGATAAGGAAAGATACTAGTGAACGGCCTCAGATACTCAGCCATCATAACACAAAGGGAAAAGGGGAAAAAAAAAAGGAAAAGGGAAATAACAGATGGCTGTTGGTATGTTCTCTGGCTTCAGACAGAACTTCTCAAATCATCGGTATTTACAGACTACAATGGGAGAGTTATTTTTAACCTAACTAGTGGGAATTCATGAAAACGGCCACTTACAATTAACATCTTCTGAACAAACATTTCTATGCAATCATGAAGCAGCTTTTATGCTTAAATTATATTCGTATTTTTTTTAAATACTGAGGAATATACCCAGGAATTCCCAGGGGAATATTTTAAAAAGAAACATCACAGTATTAAAGGCTGCAAAGTATCATTTACTTATTCACCAATTTTATAGTGCAAAAGAAAAAGATGTATTTTTTAAATAAGTCACCAATAAGCACAAAATATGAAAATAACTGAAAATCCGTCAAGGTTGTCTAGGTTGCTGTTACAATTTTTCAGTAATCAATCTGACTATAATAAAACACAACCAACTGTATATATAGCTTTTAAAAATTCATTTCACATTATGTATTTTAAGTAATGCTTTTACGATAAATAGTTTTAACCACAAGTGGGAGTTGCTCCAGAGCACAGCATATCTATTTCATTTTTCAATGACTACATAAAAGCTTCATCTCAAACAGGCAAATTCCCAAGATACACACACTGAGAAAACTGTCACACTCACCTGAAAAGCTTTGCTGAGCATGTGCTCCCCTTCTTTTGCCCCAAGTAAATTTACAATAATTTGTTTGCCATATAAATTTTTAAGAGTTTGGAAGTGCCTGTTAACAGAAGAAAAATTCCATGCTCATCTGGCATGCACAAAATTAACACAAACACCCGCACCACCAACTGAGATGCTGCAGAAACATACTGAGTACTTTAATAGCTGCCGCAAGCCTTTTATTAGGTCATATCCAAACAAATCAATATAACTCAATAATAGCATACAGCCACTGACTGCTATTTAATTAGGATAACAGCACCAATTTAACAACATACTTTGAGTTAAACCCATAAGGCTGTGAAGGCAAAGTGCCATAGCAGTAATAAAATAAAACCATAAATTTTACTTTTATACAGCAGTTGTCAAATATAGACTGTTCAATGTAAACATGTTATAATTTTTCTTTTCAATTTAACAAAACATTTCATTATTTCAAATTTTCTTCAAACTTTTCAAGGAAGTACTCAAAGGCACAAGCAATCCTGTAGAAGTTTGAAAAAGCTTCCTAGGCAGTTTGCCGCTTTGCTGAATCACAAATTTTTATAGACAAAGCTTCTCTTTTGGAATAACATATCCCATCCCTCTGATGCATCATTTCTCAGAGGTTTGTAGTGCAGTAATAAAAATTTAAGACATTATTTCACCTGTCAAAAGCTGGTGCGTTTGCCTCAAAACCCCTTGACATTCTGACACGATGGGATCCCACCTATAACATGAAAATTACATTATATTATTTGTCTTCACACATGTGATTAATTGTTCTTCAATATCTCTTTTGACCCAAAATATGGCCTAAAAATTTATTTTAATTCCTAAACAAAATCTCAAAAATTCATTCTGCTTGCTGCAGTGTGTATTCTTTTTATAGACTTTTCTTAAATTCCTCTTATTTTCTAAAAAATACTTTTTTATTTAATATACTTAGTCATATCCTCTAATTACCTCTTGTTTTGAGTAAGAGGCATCTAAACTGAGCAGTTCTACTGCAAAATGTTTCTATATCTAGTTTAAAGAATCTAGAGTCACTGCAAGGCAAAAACCTTTTTAATCTTCCCTGTAAAAACTGCAGCACAGTAGTAGTTGCTGATATAATCCCTCTTTCAAGAAAACCGGGATGAAATTATAGTATAGTATCTCTTAATACATACTGACTTATTGAAAAAATTTATCCTCAAAAACAATTCAGAAGAAAATAGTCTCTTTGGGTACCCTTAGATAATCTACTTTAAAACAGCAATTTAAATCCAAGCAGAAAATCTCAGAACTTCAGGGAGAAAACATCTACAAAGCAAGGGATATTTAAATCTTGTGCAAAGCAGCATTCAGATACTCAGGAGCAGCAGGATTGGTGAACTAAAAAATAGCACCAACATGCTCCCAAAGCATATCCTCATCCCAATAGGTAACTGTGCAGAACAGCCTAAACATCACCGTGTTTAAAAAGACATTAATAGATCTAATTATACAGATAATTTTCCTATCTCCTACTTACCTGCAGGCCTGGCTGTTCCCAAAATAATGGAACAGATCCTCGAATCTGTATGAAAGATGACACAGAATCATCTAAAAATATCACCTGTTCAGAAAAAAAATATATAGTATTAATAGCTATTACAGAGTATAGGTTTTGGGTTCTTAGCCATAGTTAAACAAAGAGCAAATAAAATATCTTTACGTATTACACATTCCACACTACAAGCTAAAATACTGTGTTCCCTATATTTTTATCTCTATCCGCTCTGAACAATTCGTAACAGAAGTTCTGGCACTCAAACTTCCTTGCAGAATCATGATTCACAATAGATTCCGTGCTAAGAGCAACTTGTTTAAAAAAAAAAAATAAATCAAAACTACTAAGACTTTCCTGTCAGGACAGTTAAAAAGTACACCAATGCATAGAAAACAACACTGCAGCTTACTTGGAACACCTGCACAGATTTTGTGCATCAGAATCCAAAATACAATGGTAAGTACAGAGCAAAGGCAACTGTAAGTGGAATAATATGCCACAGTCATCTAGTGACATTAGCCTGTCAGAAAATTTGGACAGAGAATCTGCCACAGCAGTGTTCTGACTAAACTCCTGAAACTGGATGTGTCCCAGCAGAGCACTTCCTGGGTAAAACCCTACTGAAGTCACTTCAGCTTTGCAAAGAGTCAGTGAGTCAACCAAAGATACCCACTCACATGAATACAGGTGCAGGAACAACATCTTGCCAACTAGGTTATCATAAGAAGTGAGTAAAGAAAGGCCAGCAAAGAATGATTTAATAGTTTCTTGCGCTGTTATATCCTAACAGCAAAGTCACACAACCAAAAGCAGCAGAATTACAATGGCTTTAAAAACTACCTTTCAGAGAAGCCATGTTAAATAACAATAGGAATTCTTTGATCTTCCCTGAACCACAGGGTACCATGTATTTGCCACAACTCTATTTTCCTTGTTTCTAAGGTCTTTTACTTTACTATTAGCTCAGGCCAAAAGACATACACACCTGCAGCTCAGAAGGCTTAAAAGGAAATAGAGCCACCTACAACAGTTCAGCTTCTTAAGCTATTGAAACTCAAACTCATGCACACCCTTCCCCTAAGCTACGCTAAAAACCAAGATCATCAAATTACGTAACCTACTTAGATTCCTTATTTAGCAGCAAAGGAACTATTCCAATATCGGTTGGTTACAGACTTGACTTGTGATCTGTTGATTAAGGGCAAAAAACTATCAACATACAAGCTTATCTTGAGTTCATCAGCCAAGCAATGTGCACTGTAGTGTAACATACCTGCTCTGTTTCCACAAAATTAGCCACATGGCCATCATCGTTTGTTCCCCTGACATTAAATCTGGTGCCAGCCCGTTCACAGCTTAGCCGTGAAATGAGACAAGCCTTTGCTTGCTTGTGAGCCGCATAAATTGTCCTTATCTCCACTCCTCCACACATGAGACGTAATAACCAGTCATCGCAGTTCACACCATAGTGCTTCAGATGTAAATGTAGTGACTGGTTCCTATCAGGACAAAATACAGTAAAATAACGAGAAGGAAATAAAATACAGCTCAAAACTGTTAAGCCAGCTACAGACTTATATTTTACACTCACTACTACAAATAAGAAAAACAAAATATGCATGTTACAGTTTTATTACAAACTCTTATGTAAACATACTTGAAACAGCAAAGTTTACAAGAGATGAGCTTAAACATTTGCACAATAAGAATATGGGAAGAAGTCATGAATTTTAATGACCTTAAAAAACATAACCTTTATAGTCTCTGCTCTTCACTCAGCAAAAAAAAAAAAAAAACAACACTCCAAGCTTGTTTATATTTCTCCATTCAGACTTGCTTTGAGAAGCCAAAGATTACAGACTGGGAAAAGCAAGCCAAAAGTCCAATTACAGGGTTACTTTTTTGTGATGGGTAAAGCACCATTTAATTTCACACCACCACAAAATACAGCTAGAAAAAAAAAAACTGTCAACATACATTGATTATTTATATTACACATCACCATAATGCATCACTTGCCCAGACAGACTTCAATGAATACATTCATTGCTAACTGATCTTCAAATTTCTAAAAATATCAATTTCAGGATGAAGTGCTGGTGCATTGTATACTGTATAAACCATTCTCTAATATCAACTACTGCTCAGTGAAAGAAAGAGCCACAGTTTGGATATACCATTAAGTAGTACCAGTCAATACTGTAGTAAGTAAATCACAGAATCACACCATTGTTGAGGCTGGAAAAGACCTCTGAGACCATCAAGTCCAGATCATGTCCCAACACCACCACATCGGCCAGACCAGGCCACTAAGCGCCACATTCAGCCTCTCCTTAAACACCTCCAGGGACGGTGACTCCACCACTGCCCTGGGCAGGACATCCCAGTGCCTGAGCACCCTCTCCGTGAGGAAGGGCTTCCTGAGATCCAACCTAAACCTCCCCTGATTCATTTTCAGACCATGCCCTCTCGTCCTGTCACTGGTTGCTCCAGAGACGAGACTGAAATATGACCAAAGTCTCAATTTTGTGAGTTTTTTTGGTTTACTTCACTCGAGTAGGGCATGGCTTTTATTATTGTTTGGAAACATTCACTTGAATAGAAAGGAAGCAAAGTTTTCTACATAGCAAAGTAAACTCCAGTAAGGTGGCTTATTTTGTCACTGCCCAAAAAATCCTACCATAATTGCAGATAACTTACTTAGCATAAAGATTGCAGCTATCCAATTTAATTTTAGCCTTTTCATTCTAAACTTCCAATTAAAAATAAAATAGTTTTTTTAAAAAAATCTGCAACTTAACGAAATACTGCAGCTCAATTGTTAATTGTTAAGCATACACTCACTTTATGGAAAAGTATACAGATGCATTACAATGGGAGACTGTGAAAGCAAACTACACTCTTTACTTAGGCAATCTGAGACTTGAACTTTGGAATAGAAAAAGCCCAACAAAGCTTACTGAAGTGCATAAGCAGAATACTTTCTGTTATTGACTTTCAGTGCTTACATTTCTAGATCTTAGCCATTCCATCTACCTCTTGCTAGGACTGATTCTTACTGAAAAAAAACCCCAACAGGTAGAGTTAAGAAGTTTTACAACAGGGGTCAAATCAGCCAAGCTTATTTGGACAGGGTGAATAGGCATCATCATTTCTCAAGTCTTTAAATACTGACTTATCAACAGAAAGCCGAGTCTTTTTCCAGATGCAGAGCGAGACAAACAGCTAGGTTCCTATAACTCCTGTAAACCTACATCAAGGTAGATGTGTTTCTGAAAACTAAAGCTTATTTTCTGTCTTAATACTCATATTTTGCCTTCTGTAACAATCTGCTCATATTCCTCTATCTGACCAAAAGAGTGGCAAGAAGTAGAGTAGCACTGTCATGTATGCCAGAGCCGGTTTGGTGTCTTGTCTATGGGACAGAAAAAAGAGGGAAGATGTAGCTTTTCACCTGCTCTAACAGCATACAGCCACGTCTTCAGGACCCTTCCAAGGTTCATGGACATATACACCATCTTTAACAAAGGCTGAAAACACGGAAGCAGAATTTCTTACATGACAGCATGCATCACTAGCGCTGTTTAAGCTGCTTATCAGCAGAAACACCAGTATTCCTTTTACTTAGAATTCTCCTTGGGAAAACCTATACTTTATTCAAAAGTAGGCTGTAAAAAGATAGTGAGCTCAGCAGTCAGGCAATGTACACTGTAGCACAGCCTACCTGCCCTGTTTCAACAAAATCAGCAAAGTGATAACCACCTGTCTAATAAAATTTCTAAAGCTCTTTCAAGTGGAAACCCACTTGGGAGCCGTCTTATATCAACACCACAATATTTTAGAATCCAGACATTCCAAAGATGAAAATTTTCTTTAACGCTCCATTACCACACACATTTTAAAAGTGACACACCTGATGAAGAATTAAGAGACACCAAAGTCGTTGTAACAGAATCACAGAATGTTAGGGGGTGGAAGGGACCTCAAAAGATCATCTAGTCCAGTCCCCCTGCCAGAGCAGGATCCCCTAGGGCAGCCACACAGGAACGCGTCCAGGCGGGTTTTGAAAGTCTCCAGAGAAGGAGACTCCACAACCTCCCTGGGCAGCCTCACAGTGGAAAAAGTTTTTTCTAGGACTAGATGATCTTTTGAGGTCCCTTCC